TGGCCGGAGAGTGCAAGAGGCGAGTGACCCTAGCACTGCTCTTACTTTACGTAGGCTATACGGAGGTGGTGCTAGTGGGCGACAGTAGATTTCTTGGACCCGATATTTTCGGTGGTGGGGTCCAGAAGGCAGGTCAGTTCGTTGTTGGTGGGGACCACAGCAAAAGTCAACAAAAGACAGTGCTTTTGGGAATTTTAATTCAAAAACGGAATTAATAAAAAGGGGGAAAATACAAGTGTCCCCATCGGAGGGAATGGGACTGCGTTCGGTACGATTCGCACGGATCCGGTTTGATCCTTTTTTTTGGCTGTCTCCGTTCCCAACTCATTTTCTTCATTCAATTACATTTTGGTGTCTATTATTCCTTCCTAAATTTTAATATTTGATTTAAATCGGCTTAAAATTTAAGTTTGATTGAACTTGAACCTTCGGATCAAGTGGTTCTAATCACGTTTGTAAGGTTCATACTCTCCTCCTTCAGGACAAAGTAGCTCTAGTCACGTTTGTAAAGTTCATACTCCCCTCCTCCAGGACAACGGTTGAAGCCGACCTCATAACAAAAATGTTCAAAAAAAAAAATTTTAAGTTTTACTAATGATTTTAAAATTTTGTATTCCCTATAATTCTTCATATTTAAAAAAAAAAACTCATTTTCTTTTTAAAGTTTTTTTATTGTAAAATTATTTATATTTTTTACCCATTAATATTAATACATTACTATAAGAAATAAAAATAACATTTTTAATTTTTATTTTGTACATAATTTTTAATTCATAAATTTTTTCTCACACTTAAAAAAAAGTTTGCTTTTAATCTTATTTATATAATATTCACTTAATAATTTTTTTTATATTAATTTCTTATTTAATAAAAAAATTAATAATCTAACAAAATTTTACCATAAAACTTTTTTCTCACACTTAAAAAAAAGTTTGCTTTTAATCTTATTTATATAATATTCACTTAATAATTTTTTATTATTTTTTATATTAATTTCTTATTTAATAAAAAAATTAATAATCTAACAAAATTTTACCATAAAACTTTTCAACTTTTCATATAATGTTTTCTTAATTATTTTCTAAATAAAATTCACCCTCTAATCAAACAAGTCCCTCAAGGTGGGGGCAATTCGGTGGGGATGCGAGTTTTGTTGCTTTTGGTATATGAATGTGTTGTGGACCGCATTTATACGTATGGGGTACGAACATGGGGAGGTAGTTAAATGGTGTGGACTAGGGCTGTTGCTTCTTTAAGGATTCTGCCTAGGGACAAAATTTTAGTGGGTTTGATAGCTATAGGTTTTTAAGTTACCCTATATTTGGGTCAAGAAAAACGGAGCAAAGAAAAAGAAAAATTATATTTCTTTATATTCTTTTTTTTTTCTCTCTTTATTTGGATATATAATTAAATTAAAATAAAAAACAAAATAATTTTTTTTCTTTTTTTATTCTCTTTAATTTTTTTATAACTAAATAGATAAATTTTTTTCTCTTCCTTTTATTCCCCTCAACCCATACATATGATGAGGGAAGAGAATTATTTTTTTTATTTTAATTGGACAATGAGAAGCAATTATTTTTCATATCTTATCTCAACCTATTCACATATCATACAACTCGAACTCAGAACTTTTTATTTCTAATGGAAACAAATGACCATTAAATTACTTAAATCGTTGACGAGAAGACGGTAAATTAAATCAATTACTAATAAGATTTTAATTGAGTTAATATCAACTAAAGTTATATTAGTCAAAACATTAAAGTCAAAACTTTAATTTGATATCAAGTTAAAGCGTTTGAACTATTGCAATAACCATGTACGAAATCTATTAAAAGGGGCTACAGTTCTTTTTGAAATTGTTTCAATAACATCTTGCCTTTTCCTCTTTTTTTTTTTTTTTTTCTCTCTTTTGCATACTGAAGCTGTTTGATAATTCCCGAGGCCCGAAGGCAAGGCCTTAAATTGGAAAGGCCAACCCATTATTGGTTTGTGTATTCGGACTTCTGTCTTAGAAGCTAGAGCGTAGTTTTATTTTTTGCATTAAACAGGGTCTAAGCCCAAAAGCCTTGAGTTTAGTTAAAACATGGGCGTAGAAGTCGAGAACACATCATGGGTTTCTGTTCTGCTTCTGTCCAATTCAGGCCTGGTTCATAACTAACCCAACCCACCCATGATATATCTTCTCTTCTT